TCTCCTTTGACTTAAAGTGGAAGTTCAGTAATTGTTTGGAGAGGTTTCTTTTTCATACAGGCAGTTCCAACTATATATTTCTTTTTTTTTTTTTTTAAGATTTTATTTATTTATTTGACAGAGAGAGATCACAAGTAGACAGAGAGGCAGGCAGAGAGAGAGAGAGAAGCAGGCTCCCTGATGAGCAGAGAGCCTGATGCGGGACTCGATCCCAGGACCCTGAGATCATGACCCGAGCTGAAGGCAGTGGCTTAACCCACTGAGCCACCCAGGCGCCCCCAACTATATATTTCCTCTCGGCACTGCTTTAGTTGGACCCCCTTGGTGTTGGTATGCTCTGTCTTCATTTCTATTAATCTCGAAGTATTTTCTGATTCCATTTTGGTATCTTTGACCCTTTGATTATGTAGGAATGTGTTAATTCTGCATATTGTGAGTTTCCCAAATTTATTCCAGTTATTTATTTCTGGTGTCATGCCACTGTGATATTTGCATTATTTTTACCCCTTTAAATTCATTGAGTTTTTTTTTTTTAATGGCCTAGCATATGGCTTATCTTCTAGAAAGCTCCATGTGCATTTGAAATGAATGTATATTCTGTTCATTGCTGGAATGTTCTTTACATGTCAGACTTACACTGTTGTTTTATAGTATGGTTCAATTCTTCATCTTCATTATCTCTGCATAGTTGTCCTATCCATTATTGAATGTGATATATTGAGTTATATTATTGTCATATTGTCTGTTTCTCAGTTTCTGTCAGTTTTGCTACAAGCAGTTGTGTGTTGAGTTATTATGTGAATATATGTTTAGACTTGTTTCACTTTCAGATGACTTGACCATTTTATTATTACAAAATAATCCTGTTTATCTTACTAGCATTTTTATTTTTTATTTTTTAGAAAAAGATTTTATTTATTAGACAGCTAGAGACACAGTGAGAGAGTGAACATAAGCAGGGGGAGAGGGAGAAGCAGGCTTCCTACTGATCTGGGAGCCTGATGCAGGGGCTCAATGGACCATGACCTGAGCCAAAGGCAGACTCTTAACAACTGAGTCACCCAGGTGCCCCCTTACTATAAAGTCCCTTTTAGCACATGAGTGTATCCACTCCAGCTTTCTTATGATTGTTTGCCTGAGGTAACTTTTTCCATCCCTTTGAGTTTAATCTGTTTGTAACTGAGATCAAGTGCGTCTGCTGTAGACAGCATAGGTGGATCTTGTTTTGTGTTCAGGTGAACAATCAGCACTTTGACTTATTTAAGCCACTCACTTGCAATGTTAATATTGACACTGTTGGTTTATGTCACTGTTCTTTTGCTTTTTGTTTTCCATGACTCACTCATTTCTCTCTCTCTCTCTTTTTAAAGATTTTATTTCTATAGGGGAGAGAGAGAGAGTGCCCAGGAGCAGGGGAGCAGCGGAGGGATGGGGAAGAGAAGCAAGACTTCCTGGCTGAACAGGGAGCCAGGAGCTGGGCTTGATCCCATGACCCTGGGATCATGACATGAGCAGGAGGCAGGTGTTTAACAAGCTGAGCCACCTGGGTGCCCCTCCACTCCTTTCTTTTTTACTGACAGCTTCTTATTCAGTGAATAAACTGTAATATTTTCATTCTTTAATCATTAATCACTTTATTTTGTAGTTAATTTCTTAAGATGTTCTTTTGCTTTTGCCAAATTTTCTACATTTTAAATTTTGTGATTTTTTTCCTGTGGGTCTCGCCCCCACTGACCTGATCTCTGCTGAAGGCTCTAATCATCATGTATATGCTGTCACCTCCCAAATCTGTTTCTCTAATCCGGATATTTCTCCTCCCCTGTGCTCTGTATCCAACTGCTAACCTCACTGCATTTCTAATAGTTGTCTCAGATTCCACATGCCCAAACTGGTTTCTGTGATGCTGCTTCCCCCAATGTCCTGCTTCCAGAATCTTCCCCATATCCAAGGAAAGCACTCCCCATTTCTACTTGCAGTCTGAAATACTGGATGCCCTCCTTGATTCCTCCTCCTCACCACCCAGATTTGGTGGTTAGGAAATGCTGCAAAGTCCATCTGTAAATATCCGACACCCAACCATTTCCTATATCTTCCCTCCTCACACCCCAGACGTACAGCCCACATCCCCCTCCTGGGACACAGCACTGGTTTCCTACAGTTTGCCTACTGGTGGCTCACCACGCTCCTCTCGATTCTCACAGCAGCAAACAGGTGCTGCTTAGAAAGTCAATCCCATTCATCTGTTCATTCTTGTAACTCCACACCTCACTCAGAGAAAACTCAAAAGCCTTCTAATACCCTCAGACCTGATGAGGTCACCTTCTCAGTGAGGCTCCCCTGATCCGTGGAGTAAAGGAGCCATCGTCCCTGTCTCAGCACAGGTGCTCTCTGGGTCTCCTTCCTCACAGCTCCTGCCAACTTCCAACTTAAACACTTCCCTTATTACTACATTTACACAATACACAGTTCACGTCTGAATGACCCTGGTGCACGGTGCATGGTAACCTGTGTGCGAACTTCTTTACAGTAGGTACTATCCATGCATTTTCTCTTCTTTGTGATTTCTGACTAATTTTTGCAGCTTCATTCATTGTTAGAAGACTGTTTTCTACATGTAACATAAACATGTGTTAAGTGACTCTTCACATTATCAATGAGGCTTCCAGCAACAGTAGGCTATTAGTTATGCTTTGAGGGAGTCAAAAGCTATATTTGCATTCCTGACTTCATGGGGTAGGGGTCACTGCCCCAGTCCCCACATTGTTCGTCATGTGCAATCTGCCCCTTACACTAGAACATACTCTCCATAAGATCAGCACATTTTCTTTCTTCTTAGTCTCACTCAGGTGCCCAGATGTAAACATAGCATTTCCCGCATGTAGCACACAATTATCAGTTGAATGAATGAGCAGCTAGAGGACTCCCTCTTCTAGATGCCCCTGAGGCACAGCTGTTCTGTGGAAGCTCCCATCCCCGTATGTCCACCTCCCCATCAGTGCTGCCTCTCTCTTCTCACAGGGCTCCCCTCCCCTCCCTCTCTCTGCTCAGCCCCTCCTCCCACACCATCTCTCCTGCACAGCACAGCACACAGAATTCTCTCTCCAGAAACACTGTACTCAGGCTTTTGGGTCCTTTTCTCCAACCACAAAGAGATCTACATTAGACTCTGCTTTATAAATCCACGAACTTGGATCCAAGCCAGCACTAGGATCACTGAACTAAGGGTAGGGGAGAGAGGGCAGAGCAGCTGGAGAGAGAAACTAACTGATGTTTATTAAGGCTGAGAAACATTCAGATTCCTCCTCCTTCTCCAGAATCCAAAGAATAATCTAGAAAACAAGTCTAGAGTGAGGGGAAGAGATGGATGAATCTGAAAGTCTCTGTAGTACAGAGACTCCTGTGTGTCAGGGACAACCTAGGCCTATGGGAACATATACCAAAGGCCACCCACTGCTCTAACTGATGAGGTCACCCAAGGGAGAATGGACAAGAACTCGTACACAAGAGCAAGAACAGGCCTGATGCTCTAGAGATACAGTGAAAAAAACCCATCCCCAAATGGAGGCTATGACCCAAGCCAGGCCTGATGCGAGGCTGATGCAGTCACAGGAAGCTCTTGTTGCACAAAGTGGCAGGTGACCTCCATGTTCCTATGATCACAGGTCCTAGTAGATAAGCTTCCACAGAAGGGGCAAGAACATGGAGCAGAGAGATGACCCAGCTGAGGGGTGAGCACATCACGCCTATGATGCACTAAGCACACACTGGGCACCGACCCCATCGCTGCTCAGCTTCTCACAGCCTACTCCTACCCCTACCTGCAAACAGACTCAACACAGCAAACACAGATTCTGGAAGGTTCTCAGAGTTTCCATTTATTTGCTATCTCAATTTTAGAAATCTCCTTTTATTACCTCATCAACCCCACATGCGAAGAATTAGGAAACACAACTTATATCTGGATTCTCATTTTCAACAGGGAAGTTAGTCATTTGTACTCAGCCCAACATGAAATAAGGACATGGATGGAGATGGTCCAACCCTGCCTCTGCTGGAACAGGAAAGCACATCAGAGAAGAGAATTCAGATCAGAATAGGGAGGGGTCTGGTGGGCAGGATGGGCAAATCTCTTCACGTCCTCATGTTATGTTCATAAGAACACAGACACATTCTGACACCTTCTGCACAAAGTCAGGGGTTGTTGGTGTCACAAGTGAGGGTGTGAAGAGATCTTCCATCTCTTAGTCCCCACAAGGCAGCTGGTCTCACACTGTGAAAAAAAATCATGTACAAAATGAGATCAGTCCCATAAGTGGGGACATTCTCAACAGACCCCTCATGCTCAAAGTGTCCCTAGTGCCCCAACCCTTCCCCACATCAGGGACTCTGGAGTCTCACCTTTAGGAGCCATGAGAGACACATCAGAGCCCTGGGCACTGTCATCACCTAGGGGAGAACAAACAGGACATGGTCAGAGCCCACAGGAGAGGAGACTAAAGGAGGAGTTATAGGGTGAGTGAGCTCCCCATGGGGTCCTGTCTATGCTATCCCAGGGTCTCAGGGATCACCCCCTCCACACTTACCTGCAGCATGATAGTAGCCTGGTCCTTTTCTTCCTGTGGGAAAAAAATATGTCAAAGGCTGGAGGCATGGCTGGGCCCTAAGATCCTAGAAGAAGTTCCCAATCCTGGTTCTAAATGAAGTTTGCATAATTCTGGCTGAACACCCAGGACATGATCAGGAAACAGGACGAATGAGGTGTGGTGTCCCTGGGCCACCTAACTTGCTGGAGGTCTGTTCTCAGCAGGGACCTTCCTCTCTGCTGGGAATCAGGTCCCCATCACCAGAATTACCAAGATGAAAATGTGTCCTCCTTCATTTTCACAAGTGTTTGCTACCAAGTGAGTGTAGTAATCAGCTCCAGAGTGGACACATCCATGTGCAAGGATGGTACTTTCCAGTAACAAGACAGGACATTCTCCTACCTAGGAAACCCCCCAGAGGGACAAGAGACCTCAGATCCCCCCACTCCATTCCGTACCTGAGCGCTTCTTCCTCCAGATGACAGCGCCAATCACCACAGTGACCGCCAGGAGCACCAGGCCAGCAATGATCCATGTGATGGGGATGGTAGGAGGAGGTGGCTCTGGAAAGAGAAGGGACGGTGAGGAGTCCAGGCCTCTGGTTTGAATTCTGACCCTGCTGAAGTTCTTGAGAAGGATTTTACTTTGCCCGAGAAGAGGTTCTACCCGAAAACCCTCCTTACTCCATCTCAAGGTGATGGGCTCAGGCAGCCCCTCATGCTGCACATGGCATGTGTATCTCAGCTCCTCTCCAGAGGGCACCACCACAGCCGCCCACTTCTGGAAGGTTCCATTCCCTGTAGGCCTGGTCTCCACAAGCTCTGTGTCCTGGGTCAGGTCCTCACCATCATGGTGCCAGGTCAGGGTGATCTCCGCAGGGTAGAAGTCCAAGGCCCAGCACCTCAGCGTGACAGCACGGTCAGAGATAGGGTGGTGGGTCACGCGTGTGTTGGGTGGTTCTGAGGAAGAGAATCAGAAAAACCACACTTGGGCTTATCTTTATGGGCCACTGAAGGAACAGTCATGTGACCACCCTGAGGTGGACCAGGTATTGGTTCGGATGGAAGAAGCACAAAACCGAGTCACCAACCCAGCCTTTGGGAATTTCTAATCCTGGAAAGTTCTAGAATCAGGCAGAGAGCCCAGGGTAAGAGGCTGCAGGTCTAAGGGGAGTGCGCACTAGTGGTCCTGACTGCGGTGGAGAGTGAATGACTCAAAAAAACCCAGTCAGACCTCCAAAGATGTTTGTATTGGAGAAAAAGGCCTTGAGAGGTTAAGTCACGGTTCTCAAGGTGGCTGCCAGGGTCAAAGGGAACCGGGTTATTGCAGGGATGGTCTCCACCTGCCTCCTGGGAGAGACTGGATTCCTCCATTGTCCTTTAGAGAAAAGCGGCCCTCTGGCTGAGTCACTCTCTAGCAGGAACTTGAACACCCAGGCGGACCTCCCTCTCCCCACCCGTGGGAGGTCGGTGTTTTGCCACTGAGTCCACTTTCCCTTCCTGGTGGGAAGCCAGCCCCAGGGGAGGGGAGATCAGGGAGGCCCCGCGGCCCCTAGTACCTGCGCGCAGCAGCGTCTGGTTCCCCATCTCCAGGTACCTTTGGAGCCACTCCACGCACCTGCCCTCCAGGTAGCTCCTCCAGCGCTCTGCATCACCCGCCGCCTCTAACTTGCGCCGGGAGATCTGCGCTGCCGTGTCCGCCGCGGTCCAGGAGCTCAGGTCCTCGTTCAGGGCGAGATAATCCGCGCCGTCGTAGGAGTATTGACGGTACCCGCGGAGGAGGCGCCCGTCGGGCCCCACGTCACAGCCGTACATGTTCTGGATGGTGTGAGACCCTGGCCCCGCCCCGACAGGCAGGGGGTTAAACAGAAAGTAAAACCGCCTAAAAGTTCCCGCGGGTTCTTTCGGCTTAAGGATAGGGGACAGGGGTGGGGGTGCGGGAGGGTCCCTCACACTCGGGTGACGCTCAGACCCGGATATCGGAGAATGAGGGTCGTGACCTGGCCTTGGGCCCTGTCGCTCACCGGCCTCGCTCTGGTTGTAGTAGCCCCGCAGGGTGTTCAGGCTCAGTCGGTAAGTCTGTGCGGCGTCCTTGAGGTTCCGGGTCTGCCGGTCCCAATACTCCGGCCCCTCCTGCTCCACCCACCGCGCCCGCGGCTCCAGCCTCCGACTGGCAGAGTCGCTGTCGAACCGCACGAACTGCGTGTCGTCCACGTAGCCGACGGCGATGAAGCGGGGCTCCCCGCGGCCGGGCCGGGACACCGCGGTGTAGAAATACCTCAGGGAGTGGGAGCCTGCGGGCGCGGAGGGGCTGAGAACCCGCCCGACCCTCCTCCCGGCGCGGGGCCCGGGGCCCAGGTGGAGGCGTCCGGGAGGGCAAGGGGAGGGGGCACCAAGTGGGGGAGAGCAGGGCGCAGGCGGGGAGGGACGGGGGAGCACAGGCCCGGGCGGGCCGGGGCGGCTGGGTGTCTGGGGCGGGGGCGGCGGAGAGGCGCCTTCCCCGGGGGTCCCCTCGTTCCCGCCTCGCAGAGGCCCTTTCCTCCCGCCCTGCACTCACCCGCCCAGCTCTCGGCCACGGCCAGGGCGCCGGACAGCAGCAGGAGGAGGTTTCCGGGCATCACAACCTGATTGTTCAGGGTCTGCAGAGTCGGTGAGCCGCAGCTAAACTCGGAGACGGTGAGAAGACTTCATAATCCGGGACCGTGGTGCCGCTGATTGGCTTCTCCAGAAACCTGTCACCCAATGGGAGTGGTAACCGGTATCGCGTCAGGAGTATCCCGGCAGGAGAACCTCACACAGGTTGGGAGAGGGGGACGTGAACCCTACAGAGATCCGGACTCCCCAACACTGAGCTTCCCCACCCGGGACAGAGGCCTGAGGCCTGAGAGGCGACCCAGGGACCTGAGCCTTTGCCCGAATCCCTCACCTACTGCACAGAGCGCTCTTTGTCCCCCTGTCCCCCTGAGCCGTGGCCCAGGAGCTGTATGAGTCAGTGATTCTCAAACATTCTGTTCACAGGGTATCAACACAGTCTCACAGGATCATTTTGTGTCTGTGGGTTATCTCTATCAGTATTTACTGTAGTAGGGATAAAACAGGTTCAAAAATTCATTAGTTCATTTAGAATCATATTAATACTGTATGGCATGAAAATAAAAATATTGTTTTTATGCAAAATATTTCTACAAATAAAAACCATAGCGAGAAAAGAGATGTTCTAGCATTTTACATTTTTGCAAGTCTATGTTGCATTAATATCCACAGGCCATCTGGCACAGGAAACAGACCTTGTACTAATGCATGATTTTTTAAAAAGTAATGTGCTGAATGGCCAAAATTAACAAGACACTAAACAACATGTGTTGGAGAGGATATGGAAAAAGGGGAACCCTCTGACACTGTTGGTGGGAATGCAAGTTGGTGCAGCCACTTTGGAAAACAGTGTGGACATTCCTTAAGAAATTAAAAATAGAGCTTTCCTATGACCCTGCAATTGCACTACTGGGTATTTACCCCAAAGATACAGATGTCGTGAAAAGAAGGGCCATCTGTACCCTAATGTTCATAGCAGCAATGGCCACAGTGTCCAAGCTGTGGAAAGAACCAAGATGCCCTTCAACGGACGAATGGATAAGGAAGATGTGGTCCATGTATACAATGGAGTATTATGCCTCCATCAGAAAGGATGAATACCCAACTTTTGTATCAACATGGATGGGAGAAGATTATGCTGAGGGAAATTAGTCAGGCAGAGAGAGTCAATTATCATATGGTTTCGCTTATCTGTAGAGCATAAGGAATAACACGGAGGACATGGGGAGATGGAGAGGAGAAGTGAGTTGGGGGAAATTGGAGGGAGAGACTGTGGACTCTGAGAAACAAACTGAGGGTTTTGGAGGGGAGAGGAGTGGGAGGTTGGGTGAGCCTGGTGATGTGTACTATGGAGGGCACGTATTGCATGGAGCACTGGGTGTGGTACGTAAACAATGAATTCTGGAACACTGAAAAGAAATAAAAAAAATAAAAAATTTTAAAAAGTAATGTGTTGTTTAAGTTATGTACATGTACCAGTGTTGATGAGATTGATATTGAATTATCAAAAAGTCATATTTTGGGGGCTCTTGGTGACTCAGTGGGTTAAACTTCTGCCTTAGGCTTGGGTCATGATCTCAGGGTCTTGGGATGGAGCCCTGCATTAGGCTCTCTACTCAGCAGGGAGCCTGCTTCCCACCCCCGCCCCCCGCCTGCTTCTCTGCCTACTTGTGATCCTTCTCTCTCTGTCAAATTAATAAATAAAATCTAAAAAAACAATATGCCTTTTTAAAGAGATTTTATTTATTTATTTGACAGAGAGATAGAGAGCACAAGTAGGCATAGCAGCAGGCAGAGGAAGAGGGAGAAGCTCTCTGGTGAGCAGAGAATCTGATGTGGGGCTCTATCCCAGGACACTGGGATCATGACCTGAGCCAAAGGCAGACATTTAACTGACTGAGCTGCCCAGGCACCCCCATATTTGTTTTAATATTACCACAGATCCCAATAGAAAAGTTTGTCAGTAATGGGAGGCTGTCAAGTTTATTGGTACATCACAAGTTTCTGATTTTCTCTTGAAAGCTTACATTTGATCAAGGCAACAGGTACTCTCAACTGTCCTATGTGAGTTGATTTTCATGAAAGCTTATGTTCATGTTCATTTTCCAGAAACTGGATATGTACTATCTGAATACTAACTATGAGCCACCTATGGCAACTTCCAGAAACTGTCTTGCTAAATGTCCTAGTCTAAATAATCCAAGTTTTTGTGTCATTCATTTGTCAGGTAAAAAAGGAATTCTGTTAAAAAAGGGGGGGGCGGCCAGTTCATTTTACGCAAATTATTTTCCTTGGGGTTTATGCATGCAGAAGGGCTGTACACCCCACATCGTTATATATGACATGTTTGAATGTGGATTTGAGAATGATTAATAAAGATAATATTTTTAATGCTTCAATCAGAGTGTTTTAATGTGATTCTAGTTTTGTTTTGTCCTACTTTTGTTTTGAGGTATTTTACTTGCACGTAGGCATTACCTCCCTAGAGAAAGAATCCCAGGATTTCCCCTTGTGTGGGTTTTCATCTTGCTTCTTCATGGTGCCAGCTGAGGTTCTCAGGACAATGAAACCAACCTGGAGGGATGGGTGTGGATTCTTCTGCCATTTTTCTAGATCTTTGAGTTGTACATCAAATCTGCGGCTGCTCACTTCACTCAGGTTTAACCTGCGCATAAGGTTCACAGCAATGTTTCCAGCTCGGTGGTCATCAGTGATTTCAAATTCCCAATGTAACCCTGCTTCGTCATCACAGTTAGAAACGGGATGATGACTTTGGAGCATGGCCTAATAAGATCTGCCTTTGCTTCTCTTCTAGGCATTAATACTCTTGAGAGCATCTGCTGCGACATTCATGGGACCATTATGGTGGCTTGGAAAAATGGTGGAAAGAGTGGTTTTGTTTTTTTATGGAAGTGAGTAGTGATGAAGAATAACAATTGCCCTGTGGACCCATCACCTCCATTCTTGCTAAGTTTTACCTCAGTGCGAATGTCAACACAGTGAAAAGGCAAATAATGTCTAAGTGATTTTATGAAAATAGTGTTAACTTCATGGATTCTGTGCAAGGGCCTCAGTGACATCAGGTGTTTCCCAGACCACACTTTGAGAACGGCTGCTCTGAAAACCGTGGGAGAGTCTCCCGCTGGTCCTGCCCTGGCCTCCTCCTCACTCAGCAGAATCCCTCTCCCTGATCTACACTTCCTGCTCTGAAAACTCAGCTATGACTCTAGCCCCTGAGTGCATCTAGAAGAGACCTCACCTCCTGGAAATGAGATAGCAGAGAGGGTCCCCAGTCTGGAAAGGAAGGTGGAGGGACAGGGATTTCCCTTTTGTAACTGGGGACAGTTTGTACCTGTAGGCACGAGATTCATGCATAACCGACTTTAATTTTGTGACACATCGGCTTCATATGTATTCACATCCCAGACAGAAATCCGATGTCGTCTGTAAGAGAAATCATGTTGGTCTTTTCACTCTACATGTGTCTGATATGTTTGACTCAAGACCCACAAAGCATGAAGCACAGCACCTACCAATACAACAGTCTGTGCGGAAGGAATTGTTCTGTATCTGCGCTGTCCAGTATGGTGGCCACGAGATGCGTGTGGCTCTTGAGATGCAGGTGGCACTTGAAATAGGGCTGGTGTGCTGAGCAGTTGCATTTTTAATTGTTTTAAATGAATAGGAGTTTAAGTAGCCATGGGTGGCTCATAGCTACTATTCAGACAGTACATATCTAGAACGCTCTTAGTTGTCAGGATCCTCCTCAAAGAAGAGACTGTGTGACTCATGGGTGTATGTGTATTAAATTTACCTTTAAATGGAAGTCGTAGATTTGTCTATGTGGATCTGAAACATATGCCTAAAATACAGCATGAAAGTGTAATTACCATGCATTGAGACAGCTGAAGTGTACAGACATGAACCAAAACGTGATTATCACATCTAGGTCATGAGTGCTCAAGATGCCCATCCCTGGAGCTCACTGTTGTCTCTATTGCTTTGGATGTCTTGGTGTTGGTTGAGTTCACCTGGTGAACATAGGAGGTTCATAAGTCCTCACTGAGCCCAGGTGAAAGGGTATATTGGCTACAGCATGTACCTTGTAGGCTCTGTACATACTTGTAAACGTCATAAGACAGAAGACAGACATCTTAGATTCCACCACCTTATCATCCTTTACCTCTTGCTCCTCCCCACACTTTTGCCCAAGTTCAGACAATTCTCCGTGTTTCCCTTCAACCTTGTGAAACCCTCTGCTCCTCATTTCTACCGAGGTGAAAATATACACGAAATGTTTACAACCGTAGGATGAAGAAATTCTCTAAGCACAGTCTAGTGTCGAAAACCTATAGGAAAAGTATGAAATATCTGCATGTCAATCACACTCTCACAAAGATACAAACTCATGTCCATGAGCAAATTAAAAGACACAAAAACAATTGTGACAGACAAAAGGGTAACATGGTTCAATGCTCTTCAGCCCAAGACCACCGGAGCAGTTGTGGGGCATTCAAGTTGGATCTATCACCTGTTGCAGTGAGAGAGAACGCACATCTTTGGGGGCCACAGGGCAACTTAATATGAAGGTGTTGGAACCTATGGGACATGGACTTTGAATGGGAGTTTTTGAGAGGACCCATGGAATTTGGGGCCCACTCCCGACTGCGTGTTGTCAGGAGGTGTGGGCAATCCCATGGTTGAGCATCTCAGTGAGTCCGCTCTCCAGCAGGCCAGACCAGAGCGAGGAGAGAGCAGTCATGGTGAAGAAGCAGTGATTGCTCACATTGGCTGACACAGGGAGATCCGTGTTATTATGTTGGTTCTTCAGCGCCTTATTTTGTCTGTATGGACACAGAGTGATGTCGTGGTTTCAGAATGTCCTTGTCTGATGCTGATGTTCTGTGAGGCTCATGTCCCACAGGAGAGGAATATGGCCAAGTGGTGAACATTTGGCAGCTTCTGACCACACTGAGCCCAAAGGTCAGTGTCAGACCAGACCCCAATGTTGGGGGCTGCTGGCTCTTCTCTGTTAAATTTCAGATTT